TTGTAAACCCTAGAGCAGAGTTCAGCTAACTATGGTCCATAGGCGAAATCTGGCACACTACCTATTTTTGTAAAGTTTGTTGGAATACAGCTGTGCCCATTCATTTACATATGGCTGCTAATACACTGCAGAGTTCTGTAGTTGTATCAGAAATCTTATGACCCATGAAACCCAAAATATTTACTATTTAGCCCTTTACAGAAAAAATTAGCCAACACCTGCCCTACAGTAACCCATAAAAGAATTTTTTAAAAAAGATATAGTTAATAAATGAATAGTAGAGATTAAATGAGTCCACTCAAAAGCAACAGGTTTAGAGATTAAATGGAATCATGAAAAATACTCAGTTAATCCAAAATATGGCAAGAATAGAGGAAAAGTAGAAGAAAGAACCACTGGGACAAATAGAAAATAAGTAGCAAAATGGTAGACTTAAACCCAACCATATTGATAATCACATTAAACGTAAATGATATAAACACTTTAAGTACAAAAGCAGGTATTGTCAAATTGGATAAAATAGCAAGACCCAACTATATGCTGTCTACATGAAACCCACTTTAAACATATTGACAGGTAGGTTAAAAGTAAAAAGATGGCTATTGTGAATAATACTGCAGTGAACACTGGTGTACAAGTCTCTTTTTGAGTCTCTGCTTTCAAGTCTTTTGGGTATATATGTAGGAGTGGAATTGCTGATTCATATGGTTCTACTTTTAGTTTTTTTGAGGAACTTCCACACTGTTTTCCACAACAGCTGAACCAGTTTGCATTCCCACCAGCAGTGGATAAGGGTTCCAATTTCCCCACATCCTCACCAGTATTTGTTATTTTTTGTTTTTTTGTTTTTTTATCTTAGCCATGCTAGTGGAAGTGAAATATAGTATCTCATTGTGGTTTTGATTTGCATCTCTCTGATAGCTAATGACGCAGAGCATCTTTTCATGTGTCTGGTGGTCATTTGAATGCCCTCTTTGGTGAAATGCCTATTCACATCTTTTGCCCATTTTATGATTGGGTTGTCTTTTTGTGTTAACTTGTACACCAGTGTTCATTGCAGCACTATTCACAACAGCCAGAAGGTGGAAACAACCTAAATACTCATACATAGATAAATGGATAAACAAAATGTGGTACATACATACAATGGAAGACTAATCAGCCAGTAGGAGAAATGAAGTCTTGATACATGCTACAGTATGGATGAAGATTGAAAACGTTGTTGTTGTTGTTAGGTTCCGTCAAGTCAGTTCTGACTCATAGCAACCCTGTGTACAACAGAACGAAATACTGCCCAGTCCTCTGCCATCCTCACAATCATTGCTGTGTTTGAGCCCATTGTTGCAGCCACTGTGTCACGCCATCTCATTGAAAGTATTCTTCTTTTTCACTGACCCTCTACTTTACCAAGCATGATGTCCTTCTCCAGGGACTGGTCCCTCCTGATAACATGTCCAAAATATGTGTCATGGATTCAATTGTGTCTCCCAAAAATATGTGTCAACTTGGTTAGGCCATGATTCCCAGTACTGTGTGGTTGTCCTCCATTTTGTGATTTTAATTTTCCTATGTGTTGTAAATCCTAATCTCTTCCTGTGGTTAATGAGACAAGATTAGATTATGTTAAAGATAATTAAGGTGAGATTGTAATACCCTTACTAAGGTCACATCTCTGATCCAATGTAAAGGGAGTTTCCCTGGGGTGTGGCCTGCACCACCTTTTATCTGTCAAGAGATAATAGGAAAGGGAAGCGAGCAGAGAGTAGGGGGACCTCATACCACCAAGAAAGCAGCACTGGGAGCAGAGCGCATCCTTTGGACCCTGGGTCCCTGTGTGGAGAAGCTCCTAGTCCAGAGGAAGATTGATGAGAAGGACCTTCCTCCAGAGCCAACAGAGAGAGAACGCTTTCCACTGGAGTTAACGCCCTGAATTTGGACTTCTAGACTGTGAGAAAATAAATTTCTCTTTGTTAAAGCCATCCACTTGTGGTGTTTCTGTTATAGCAGCACTAGATGACCAAGACCGTATGTAAGACAAAGTCTTGCCATCCTCGCTTCTAAGGAGCATTCTGGCTGTACTTCCAGACAGATTTGTTCATTGAGGACATTATGTTGAATGAAATAAGCAAATCACAAAAGGACAAGTATTGTCTGACCTCACTTATATAAAAAGACAAGAAAAGACAAATGTACAGAAACAGAAGTTATTAGCAGTTACCAGGAGCGGGAAGGAGGGCGTAAAAGGGGGTTAATGGTAATGGAAAAATTGCATTGATTAAGGGTAGCGTTGCACAGCTGATTATTGTAATTGCTGTCCATAGGTTGTATACCTGTAAAAAGTTGAATTGTCAAAAGTTGTGTGATAGGTATATTTACAACAACAACAAAAAAAGTAGCTGCTGAGGCTGCTTATGTACAACCAAACACCTCATGGGGTTTGGTTCCTTGGTTTGGATGTTCAGGGTCATGGTTTCATGGTACATCCCAGTTAATTGGCCTAATAATGTGTTTAGTGCTTCTGTTCTATCTCCTAGTTTGTTGCACAGTGCCTGGGGTCTTAAAAGCTTGCAAGCAGCCATCCAAAGCACAACAATTATTCTCTATTCACCTGGAGCAACAGGGGAAGGAGAGTCAAGAATAGGAGGAGGACATGGAATGTGTGACTAATTGCCTCCGTGAAAAACTGCCTGCTTTGCCATGACACCAGAAAAACTGGATGGTGCCTGACTACCATTAGTGAACATTTTGATCAAAGATGCCATAGAAGAATCCTGATCAAAAGAGGGAAAATGCAGAACAGAATTTCAAATTCTCATGGACTCCAGACTTTTGGGAGCCAGGGAGGGTGGATGAACCCCTGAAGCTATTGCCCTGAGATAATTGTAAACCTTAAACCAAAAATATCCCTTGAAGCCTTCTTAAAACTGAACAATAGTTTAGCTTAACTAGTAATAAAAGTCTCCCCTGAGCATTATGACGACAGCAACTCGAAAGATTAGATAGGAACCTTAGGGGGCAGTGGGTTTATGTTAATGAGGGAGGAACAACTTAGAAAAGAAGGATGAGAATGGTTGTACCACTCGAAGAATGTAATCAGTGTCACTAAAAAGTATGCGTAATAACGGTTGAATTGGTGAATGTTTTGCTGTGTATATTCTCAACAACAACAACAAAATAAATAAATAAAATTTAGAAAAAAGAAAAGTAAAAGGATACGGGAAAGTATACCCTGAAAACATATGTCCACACAAAGACCTGTGAGTGAATAATCATAAAAGCTTTATTCATAGTAGCCAAACACTGGAAACAATCCAAATGTCCATCAGGAAATGAATGGATAAAGAAATGGTGATGTAACCATGCAACAGAATACTGCTCAGCAATAAAAATGAACTAATATATACAACAACATGAATGAATCTCAAAGTCATTATGTTGAGAGAGTAGCAAGTACAAAAGAGTGCATTCTGTATGATTCCATTAATATACAACTTTAGAAAAATCAAATATAATCTGTTTTGACAAAAATCAGATTAGTGGTTGGTTGCCTGAGACTAGAGGTAGATGGAGATTAACTGGGATGGGGCTCGGGAATTTTGTGGGTATTGGAATTGTTCATTATTTTGATTGTTGTGTCAAAACATCCATTTAAAGTAAGTGTATCTTATTATTTATGAACTGTCTTAGTCATCTAGTGCTGCTATAACAGAAATACCACGAGTGGATGGTTTTAACGAAGAGAAGTTTATTTCCTCACAGTTAAAGTAGGCTAAAAGTCCAAATTCAGGGCATCAGCCAGGGGAAGTCTTTTTCTCTCTGTCAGCCTTCTTCTCTTTGGTGTTCCCCCAGACTAGGAGCTTCTCTGCGCAGGGACCCCGGTCCAAAGGACGCGCTCTGCTCCCAGCACTGCTTTCTTGATGGTATGAGGTCCCCCGATTCTCCACTTGCTTCCCTTTAGAGATAAAAGGTGGTGCAGCCCACACCCCAGGGAAACTCCCTTTACGTTGAATCAGGGATGTGACCTGGGTTAGGGTGGTGTTACAATCCCACCCTAATCCTCTGTAATGTAAGATTATAATCACAAAATGGAGGACAGCCACACAACACTGGGAATCATGGCCTAGCCAAATTGATACACACATTTTTGGGGGGACATAATTCAAACCATGACATAAACTATGCCTCATTAAAGGTTCTTTTAAAAAATTTCAGAGCATGAAAGAATTTAGTATGGGGTGTTTGTATACATTGTAGGCCTTTTAAGTTGCTTGAATAGACAAGGAAGTAAGATGTAAATGACTACAACTATGGAAATTTTGGTGCATTTGTAATCTCCACAGTATTAATCCACACACACTTCCTCCAGACTCTTCAATTTGCAGTGGGATATGAATCATTAGTCTCACTTATTAGTCTACTTTAGGAAGAAGTCATTCCCAAGGGATTTTTGAGACCTCTGGCTCCCGATAGCCATCTCCTACAAACTATGGAATCTGGCCCAGCAATATCTGGCTACTTAATAAAATCTTACTAACTGGAACCAGAGTGTATATTCACCAATACCAAGAACTTTACCTCACGTTCCTAGGAGTGCTTCTCCTTGACCCACTCAGAAGATAATTCTTTGCATGTTTTCTTTTTTCTGAAAAGTGAATTGATCCATATGATCTTCTGTAATCCAGTTCTCCAAACAGCCTTCAGCTAAAGCTATAGGTTAACAGCTCGGCTGCTAGCCAAAAGATCGGCAGTTTGAATCCACCAGCCGCTCCTTGGAAACCCTACGGGGCAGTTCTGCTGTGTCTTACAGGGTTGCTATGGGTCAGAATCGACGGCAACGGGTTGGTGTTTTGTTTTGTTTTTTAAAGCTGTAACGTATTCTTCAACCTTTTTTGTACAGATTTTAAACTACACTAATAATAATAGAGCACATGTAAGAATATAATGTGGCTTTAGCTTATAGTGAAATCTAATTATCATGTTTGTGGGTCTTTTTCCCTCAGATGTGACAGTGGTTTATCAAAACGGGTTACCTGTGATATCTGTGAGGCTACCATCCAGGCGTGAACGCTGCCAGTTCACACTTAAACCTGTCTCAGACTCCGTTGGTGTGTTTTTACGACAACTGCAAGAAGAGGATCGGGGAATTGACAGAGTTGCAATCTATTCACCAGGTATACTCACCTTCATTATTAATTCCCACCAACCCGTCTTCTCCCTTATACCATCCCTATACACACACATACACACACCACTACAAAAGAATTCCACACTCTTAACTTTAGAAAAATTTTTGTTCATTTGTTTAGCAAATTACAGGAGAGAAAGTGACTTGTCTTCCAGTGGTTCTCAGAATATAATTGTTCAGTCTTAGCAAATGTATGTATATACAACGAATCTCATTCATAAGCAACACACATATAATGCCACAGGCAAGGATGAGCAATCAATCACATTTTTATATTATTGAGACCTTTCATCATTAGCTTTAGACACAGAATAAATTTTTCCAGCAGTTGAGCCATCATCTCTGGAGATATGAAATACTAGGTCATCTTTTTAGATTTGTTTATGTATTTCACATAAAAGTTTACTAAAATAAAGAAATATATGATTTGAAAAGAACACAAAATAAGTTATTAAAAATTCCCATTTGACATGACATCCATTTCATTTATTTATTTATGTCAAGTGCCTTAAATTTTTTCCCATCTTTTACTTTGAAAAATTTCAAGCCTACAGAAAACTCGAAATATGAGCACAGAAGTACCCAATTACCCTTCACCTGGATTTACCAGTTGTTAACAGTTTGCCACATTTCTATGCTTTAAGTTTTTATTTTAAATACAATTAACTCTCAACTCATCTAGTAATATAATCAGTGACTCTACTGTAAAGTACCATGTATTAGAAAACAGTTCTTTTTTACTCAACCAAATTCCATCACAGTCAACCAAATTCCATCAGACAAATTTAAGAAGCCCATGCAATTCTCCCCGTGGACCCTAGATTTCCAGCTGACACCAATAGATCTATAACCAATAATTATTTCACTTATTCATGAAGTCCTGCTGGGAAGCATGTTGTTAAATCTTCACACATGTGAGACCATAAAAGCAAAATGTCTCAGAAGACCTAAGCTTCATTTAGCGTAGAACTGGGAAAAGAGGCAAAAAATTAACTGAAATTAAAAGAGAAGAAGTAATTTTTTAAATTTATTTTGAGGATTGCATTTTCGTGACCAATCTTGAATAATTATGGACACATGACAAGTTTCATTTCAATTCTTCACAGATGGCATTCGAGTTGCTGCCTCAACAGGAATAGACCTCCTCCTCCTTGATGACTTTAAGCTGGTCATTAATGACTTAACATACCATGTGCGACCACCAAAGAGAGGTAAAAAGTAACCTTGATAAGGTTGGAGATATATGGGAAGGGCATTTTGGAAAGAACTTTATTTTTCCTTGAATAACCTTGAGAAATAGATAATATTCAAAGAACACTGAAAGCTTTACGTACAGAGAGACTATTTTTCATTGAAAAGCTCCCTGAGTACCTGGGACTTGGTTAGTACTTTGACTAAGACCACTTAGATTCCACCTAGATGCAGCAATGCTCTGACGTTATCATTCTGTTTCACATAATGAGTGTTCTAAATAATTTAAATTCATTCTCTCCATACAAGCTAAAAATTAGATTATTTTAGTAACATTATAAGGAAAGTCTTTTAAAAATAAAGTGCTTCTCTGTCCTCTTAAACATGGTAACAGGAATTTTTTTTCGTTTCGTTAACCATCAATTACTGGACAGTAATAGCCCTTATGAATTTACAGCATATATAGGGCTTTAATGATCCTCTTTTTCAGCCTCCCAACCAACTAGAAGTGATGATTCTCTTCTCTGAAAGTGCTTATTGCCTTTCTTTGTAAATGCTCTGAGGGAAGGTACTCTGATTTTGTATCCCCCATTGACTCAGGTGCTCATTCTATATTGAGTGGATTAAATGAATTAACTTGGTAACATTTTGATTGCTGAGATGCCAGATTCTCTACCATGTTCAAGTTAGTTGAGATTGCTGAGAAAATCTCCTTTAAGTAGTAAGACATTACTGAATCAGATCTTATTAAGTTGGAATAATTGAACATGTAGACTAGGAGTTGTTAACTATAGCTCTGATCTGTTTTTCTTCTTTTTTCCCTGATTATTGGGCTAGAAGTTCTACTCTTTAAAATAATAGTACAGTCCTATTTTACTTCTTGTTTTTTTGTGACTTGCTTAGAGAGTTATTCTGTTTAGTTTCACTACTGCATTAGTGGAGCCCTGTTGGCATAGTGGTTAAGAGCTCGGCTGCTAACCAAAAGTTCAGGAGTTCGAGTCCACCAGCCACTCCTTGGAAACCCTGTGGAGCAGTTCTGTTCTGTCCTGTAGGGTCATTATGAGTCAGAATCGACTCAATAGCAGTAAGTTTGGTTTGGTTTATTGCATTAGTAAAAATTTTGAAGTTGACTAATATATTCTTATCTAAAGTTAACATATGAACTTCCATATATTGTGTTGTCAAAAACTAGGGATATTTTAGTCAATGAATAATTTGAGCCTTCTTATACTGTGTTTTTCAAACAGAAATGAATGCTTTCATTTTTTAAATAGGGCCATTCCCAAGTTGAATAAGGAAAGTTATGGGAGAAACTGAAAAAGGGGAAGATTATATTTGATTCTCTAGTGATTTGGCTGCCTAACAACTATGCTTTATCTGTATCTTGGCACTGTGGAATATCTACCCTGCTTTTCTAGAAGTAATTTAGGGTGTGAAGTTTGTGAAGTTCAAAAGTCTGTGATTAATGGAAATAATTGTAAATTCAAGTATGAAATATGATAAACTGAATAGTAGCGTTGGTGTGGAATTTTTAAAGACATTGTTCATATTTAAATTTATACGTGAAAGCTCTCTCAGCTCAGTTATTAGCTCATGAGAGATTATGCCGTCAGCTACAGTCTCTTGCAAAAGCTCAAATTATTTTAAGTCCATAAGCACATTATTGTCCCTGACTTTTAATACATATTAACAAAAGAAAGTTTTATACAATGTCAAATAGATTTTAATTTGTTTCTGCCATATTTTCCTTGCCCTCACTAGAGGAGGAAGGTACTGCTGGCTCTGAGGCACCACTCTTTTTCAGCTGAGTAGAGTGAGAGAGCAGTTAGATTTCTGTATTTGAGGGTTGCCGATTTTTCAGAGTAAGCTGGTTCCTCTTCCCTGCATTGTAACTCTTTTCATGAAAAAATTAAGTGGAGGAAGAAATTGAAGGTACTAGGTTTTTGGTGTCACTTAATGAGGAAAATGGGATGGACAAATCTGCTTTGTCTAATAGAAGATAAAATAGTTAATAAAGGAAAACTTTTCCAGGATGGTTTTGTAAAATTTGACACAAAATTTTCTACTCATTTTCATCCCTTTAACTTTCACTTTTCTCTCCTAGTTATTCTTTTCCCTGTTTATGAGCAGCACTTTGAAATTAAAAATCCTCTATGAATTTTGGATGTCAGTGAACTTCACCCACCTCTACCAGACACTGAGGATAGGAGGCTCATTCATATAGGATATAATATAGTTCCATTTAATGTTTCTGTGGGATTGGCAGTTCGTAAGTGTTATGGATCCTCCAGTGTGGGCAACCTTTACCTAACCCCAAAGTTGGAGGGAAGAGGCTGGAAGAAACTAAAATAGAGAAGGGAGAAGGTCATAACTATAAGGCTAGTTACAAACTCCGTGGCATTCTTTGGGTTACCATAACTGTATATAGCTGAGTTCTCCTCTGTCCACTGCAAGATGAGAGAGGTAACTATTTTAGCAATTACATAATTTTATAATCTAAGCAAAAGTCTAGAATGGAGAGAAGACTATGGAAAGAGAGCACTGAAAGCATTTTAACCCAGTCTGTGTTGAAGTAGCAATTAACTACTTTCCTGCTAGTCTTAAAGAGGAAGAGAATGTTCTTTATGTCACTAGCGGTTGTAAGTTTTTGTACTAAGGAGAGTCATTTTAGTTGGCACCACTAAGTCCTTTTCCCCATATATCTACAGGATATTGGAGACCTTGCTTCTCTCTTAATGATGTGAATAACTTAAAAGGAAAGATCGGTAGAGCAAACCAAATAGCAACAATGACAAATGCCTTAGCACAGACCCAGATAGCTGAAGTCCTTCCCACACTGATTTAGTAGCTGAAGACAATCTTCAGTCTCCATTATATATTAGCACATCTTCAATGCCTTTCTGTACTTTAATTATGCTGGAAATGATGGCATGTGCAGAAACATTAATAAGCATCTAATTGCATTTTTTAGTGAAGCATACAGTAATTATCCAAGTGTTGTTAAGCCACTAGCAGATTTCTCTTCTCTTTCTGTAAGTTTATCTGTCCATACGTAGGCAGATTTTTCAGGGTCGAAGGTTTAGAGGTTGTTGTTTTTCTCCACCATAACAATACCTTGGACAACTACATTCTTCTTATCAGGAAGATCTGACAAAATAAAGCCTAGTTCCTTGGGTCTGCCAAGACTTCTGATGTCTAGTCAAAACACCATTAAGTTTAGCTAGGTCTAGAATTGGGCATCTGTAAGATCTCCTGTGATTTATCTTTTAATAATCTTTTCATTGCCATTAAAAGATATTGTGGTTGCATATTAACTTTTTGTTGTTGTTGTTCTGAATAGGTAATATGTTCACAAGGTTCAAAACTCCAAAAGTCTAAAGAATATATAGGGAAATTCTTCTCATTCCTGTTTTCCAACCCTTTTCTCTTCTGCATCAGCAAGCACTGTTTTTAGTTTCTTATATTTCCTACCAGAGATAGTCTGTACATTCCTAAGCAAATACAAATGCATATTCTTTTTTCCTTTTTTTATGCAAATAGTAGCATACTGTATATACTGTGTGTACCAGTCAGGGTGCAATTAGGGAAACAGAACCACATAAATATTCTGGAGTAACGGATTTATTATACAAGTAAGGCCTTATGAAAATATACACATCAAAACTTTTCCCATACAAGAATTTCTGCATTTACAGTGCAGTGACAGTGATTTCATTCTTCATGTTGTGCAGCCATTATTACTATCCTTTTCCAAATAAATATAATTCTTGAAGATGATGAAATAAAAAAAAAAAAAAAAGACCATATACAAGTGTGCTTGAAGCTGAATAAGAGTCTGAAGGGGGAGCTTGGAAGATCAGAAAAAGTCACTAAGCTGCTCTTTGGAACAGTAGCGCCATGCAGAGGAGAGCAAGGAAAAGCTGGCATCTTCAGGCACCTCTGCATCTGTCTCTCACTGCCTGTAACCATGACGACCTTCAGTGATTCTGGCCTCTGGCTTCTGCTTCACTTTTGCCTTCCAGATCTCACTTGAATTTCTCTTGGTCAGCTCTAACTCAGAACCACACAGAGAAGGGTATTGTGGGAAATGTAATTCCAGCTTACCCAGATTGATAAGGTATAAAACCACAAAACTGCTTTTGTCACCTAACAGTATATTGTGAAAATCTTAACATATCAGTACACAAAGAACTTCCTCATTCTTTTTCACAGATGCTATGTGTGATGGTTAAGGTTGTGTGTCAACTTGGCTTAGCCATGATTCTTAGTGGTTTGGCAGTTATGTAATGATGTAGTCATCCTCCATGGTGTGATATGATGTGATTAGCCAATCAGTTGTAAGGGGAATTTCCTCAGGCATGTGGCCTGCCACCAATATATACATATATATATATATAGATGGATGTTCTGGCAAAGTTCACTCGCTTGCTCTGGATCCTGCATCTGGCTTGGCTCATCATCATCTGACCTCCAGTTCTTGGAACCTGAGTCAGCAGCCTGCCGTATTGCCTGCTGATCTTGGGATTCATCGACATCCAAAGCCTGTGAGCCAGCAACCTGCTGTCTTACCTGCCAATCTTGAATCTGTCAGTCTCCACAGCCCATGGGCCAGTGGCCTACCAATCTTGGGTTTTTCAGCCCTTGCAGCTACGTGAGTGAGGAGAAGCCGCCAGCCCAATGCTTGAACCAAGGACTTGGGACTAGCCAGTCTCTACCACAACGTGAGCCATTTCCTTGAGATGAATCTCTCTGTATATATCTAGCTAGCTAGCTATCCGTCTGTCTACATACACCTCACTGGTTTTGCTTCTCTAGAGACCCCAGCCTAAGACATTTGGTACCGAGAATGATTCTAGAGAAACAAAATTGTAAGGATGGGTTTTTTAAATTGGTTCTGAAGTCTGACTAGTCTTAAAGGCGCTGATGACTCTGCCTCCAATAGTAAAGAGGGCACTGCTAATCCATGGCGTGAGGTGGCAATATTAATATGCAAAATATCACCACCAGTAGATTAAGTATT